GGGGCCTAAATTGCTTGTGACCAAGTCCTATACATCTTAACGAGGCTTATAGTCTTATGCCCTCTTCCTTATATCTTTAGTTAAGTTTATTGTTTCACATATTTGAAAATATTGTCATTTGGCAGTGGTACACTGATAGATTAATAGAGGCCTGGATTTCTTTCTGCCCAGTATCTTTGTCGGATCGGCACCCTTGCACTGCCTTCCTCTTCTTCTGATCTTTACTTTAAACATACTATCGAATCTCTCCATGGCCTGTAGTGGAGAGAATACCAAAACTAAAAATTCAGATCCCAATTCAGAAATGAAACGTCCTCAGTCATTCGAGGCCACTCGTGTACTGGCTGTCTCTCAGTCAATGCCTGTCCGTGCGTGGAGGGCAGAGTTTCATCTGAAACCGAAAAGTAAATAGATGTCAATTCTAGCTCTGCTCTCCTCTCCCCCCACACACACACACCTTAGAAGGAACACAGCTCTCAGTCGAACCTGCCCCACTGAATTATTATAAGGAAGAGCGAGACGGGTTGTGGGGAATCTCTGCGACGTGGAATTCCTTTGTGGAGGGGTAGGAAATAAAGGTAGTAATGTGCATCCTATAAAATGTGATGGGGCAGAGCTTTAAAAAGAGAAATATTCCACCTGGGGGCTGGGGGATTCTGGGACTCTCCCTAGCTGTGTGATAGAGTGTGGGTAGATTGGGGCAGAGCTTTAAAAAGAGAAATATTTTACCTGGGGACGGGGATTCTGGGACTCTCCCTAGCTGTGTGATAGATTGTGGGTAGATGGCATTCATCCTCTGTTGCACATCCAGTTTATACTTGAATTTCCGAATCTACCAGTCAATAAGAGATACAGATCTCGTTCATTGAATCCGGCTGCCCCGTGGGAGAGGCTGGGAGACTAAAGTCTTTTTTCTGAACTCCTGTAACATCTGACCCGGATTCCATTGTTGTTAGTCTCTGGCGGACGGGTAGTCGGCTGGCTGCGGTTACTCAGACGTGAGCGAGCAACGCTCCCTAGATGTTGGTGAAGTCATAATAAAGATGAGATTATTCTTGTCTTCCAGAGACAATGCTCTGGCGTTCGGAATGCATTCCAAGGGCAGAGTCTTGGCTTGGATAAAGTGTTTGGCTAGCTCTCAAAAAGAGAACGAAGCAGGGGAATATTGCTCTTGATCATAAGCCAGATTATAAAGCACTAGACGGGTTTGGCAAAGGTACACTCATTAATGGTAGCTTCCATCATTTTCATTAACTTGGTGATCACGTCTCTAGATTGCACATCTGTTTCTTTTGGAAAAGGATGTTGCAATCTCTTCTTTAGTAAAGCATCTTGAAACATCACAGGTGAAGTTCTCCAAGTGAACGTTTCTCTGTTCTTGCCAGCTGTGTTTTGTTAAGGGAGGGAAGTCTCTACTTGTGTGTTTTTTTTTAATGGAGGACTTAGACATCTGTTACTAGTTGAACTGTGCTTTTACATGAAAGAAGGTTTTATGGACCTCCAAGACTCTGGCTTGCTTATTGTAAGCTTGTTAACAATGAAATAAACTTTCTTTTATTTGGGTGTTGTGTGCCAGGATCATAACATGCATGGAATTGTCCATATAAAAGAAGAAGAATTTTAAAAAGATTAAAACCATATACTTTAGTTGAAGAAGACAACAAATCTAGTGGAACCAGGCATTAGTGTAAATCAGGGATGGATAATGTATGTATGGCCTTCCAGATGTTGTGGGACTTCATCACCCCTCATTCTTCATCACTAATTATGCTAGTTTAGGCTGATGGCAGTTGTAGTCCAACATTATCTGGAAGGCCACCCGTTTCCCACCCCTAATATAAATGAAGAATGAAGCTAGACAGTGGGGTAGGAAATCTCTGTTCCGATCTAAAAAGATGAAATGTGGCACTCTCTCCTTTTGGATAAACTCATAGATTTAGGGTTTTTTGATTTTTTTTCCCCTTCAGAGCTGCTACATATTCCTCTGTATATTTTGTAGGATAAATAGCAAGGAAAACCTGGGGAGAAGACTTAACCCCTAACCCTCCCTCAGTGCATGGGGCAGTGGCTGCATTCACCCCATTTTTACAAAATGGTGAGACAGCTGATCGCTTATTGTTACATCTACCATTGTCCCATTGATCGTTAGTCCAGAATGCAAATTCCTCACTTAAATCTGCAGATGGGTGGATGTTGGGCAATACCTTGGAATGAGCTGTATCCTTCTCATACTGTTTGGGCTGCCGTTGTCCAGTCATCTGGGCAAGGATTGGGCCCGTGCAGGGGCAAGGAAGGGAATGAATGTGTATAATAAACATAGGGAAGGAGGGTGGATGAATGTTCATTCTGAGCCAATTCAGATGGACCAGAAGCAGCTTCGTGGTCCAGAAGGATCAGAGGTCAAGATCTAGGACAGAAATTAGAAAAAGGCATTGAGAGTTTTGGTCGCATCCTTGGATTAGAGCAAGCTGCTGTGATCAGAGGAGGAAGCGGAGGACTGGGCTTTTGTAGGGCCTGCTAGGCAGGAAACGAACCTTGGGAGGTCAGAGGATGGAGTGCTTGGGATGGTTGGCACTGCAGCGTAAATGTCACCTCCAAGCAGTGACCTCAGCCTGCTGGGCTTGCGAGGGTGGCTTGGAAGGACAGGAGGTTTGCAGGGGGGTCCTGACTTGACCTGGTTCCCTCTCTTTGCCACTTGTCTCTTGCTAAGGAGCGCATGAAGTTTAGCCGCAACAGGGTGTTCTGCGTTCTCTTTTGTTGGTGGATATAGAATGTCTCCTTGGAAATGAAAGAGGGGAACTCTATATTCAAAAAGTATGCTGAGCTCTAGATTGGACAATAAAATACAGTGGTGCCTCGCATTATGACATTGATTCGTTCCAGCGAAATCACTGTAGAACGAAAACATCGTAATGCGAAAATAAAAAGTCCATTGAAACGCATTGAAACCCCTTCAATGCGTTCCAGTGGGTTGGAAACTCACCGTCCAGCGAAGATCCACCATAGGGCGGCCATTTTCGGTGCCTGTGCAGCAAGGAATCCATCCCAGAAAACAGCAGGGAGCCATTTTGTTTACCCAGCAGCCATTTTGAAACCACCGATCAGCTGTTCTAAAATCGTCGTTTTGCAAAGAATTGGTTCACAAAGAGAAAAAACCCATTCAGACCATCGTTTTGCAATTGCATTTGCGATCACAAAAAGTTCGTTGTAATGCAGTTTCGTCGTAATGTGGGGCAATCGTAAAGCGAGGCACCACTGTAATACAGTGCAAATGAAGGAGACTAAGACGGATGGCACTAATAAAAGGATATCATGAAGCAGGGGAAGGTGTTTGAACAAGATGGGCCTTTGGGCTGATGCACCAAAGATATTCTTATGTTTCTTACAAGGAAAAGAGGTAGGAACAGCCAGACATTCATGTAGTGATGCTCATGACCAGGGCATGGGGCTTCTTCTCAGAATTTTGGAATTGAGCTGTTCTGTTATGGCTCAGATACTTTGAAATGTTGCATTTATAAAAGCCAGCACATGTTTTCTTTTTAAAAGACCTAATACAAGAGTTTCATTCAATATTAAACCTGCTAATGTTTTAGTGTACAGTAGGAGCCCGTTATCTGCAGGATCAGTACCTGCTAATTCACTTATCCATGGTATGAATATATTAAAAATATGAAAGAACCCCCAAATATATGCTAATGTTTTAGTGTACAGTAGGAGCCCCTTATCTGTAGGGTCAGTACCTGCTGATTCACTTATCCACGGTATAAATATATTAAAAATACGAAAGAACCCCCAAATATATATTTTTAACAATGAAGTTACCAAAACTGGCCACTAGAGGGAGCCAGAGACCATGCTATGTACAGCATTCACTATTATAATAGCAGTCACTATAGTCCATCCAGAGACTATGCTATGTACAGCATTCACTATTATAGTATAATAGCAGTCACTATAGTCCAAGTTGTCAGCATCTGCAGAGGGGGCTTGGATACGGGGGGTCCTACCATATGCCATCATGGCCAATGCTGCAATTCTTTCCCAAATTTATATTTCTAGACGATTCGTCATTATTTAGACCCACTTTGGCACCAGCTTGGAGCAAAAACCAAATCTTTGGTCCAAGATTTGAAGGTCCTCCGTACTTTGCTGCAGTATTTGACTCAGTATGACTGTGTGACTTTCCTTAATCTCTTGGAATCCTTAAGAGCATCAGAAAAAGCCTTTGGTCAGAACTCAGGTATGAACTACATAAGGTTTTTGCTTTTTTAAAAAATAAATCAGGCTGTAAAAACTAAAATTTTAAATTGAAAAACCACACACCCTTATATGCACACAAAAGTTTCAAAGTGTATTCACCCACCATAAGGCTGTAGGATTTGATTTACTGACAGTGAATATATACCGCCTCCCACTTAACGTCTGTTACTTGAAAATATGCCCTGCTGTCACCAGAAACTGGAATTGCTGTTCATTCTTAAGTCCCTACATAAGAGCATAGCTAATGAAGAAATGGAAATGTTATGATATGGAATCTGGATGAAAGGACTACGCAGTGGGTGGTGTTACATGGTGGTCTGCTTAATTCTGCTTGTCATCAGCAGACCCATGTGGTAGAGTAGCCTTAAGAGATATGTTCAGAGTATAGAAAAGTTATTTTTTGGACTACATCTTCCGAAATCACTCAGCTAATATGGCTCCTACAAATTTGAGAAGGAGGATTCTGGAGGCTGTTGTCCAAACAAATAAATTCCATGTAACTTTCCCATGTTCTTGGTGTACAGGGTTGAGAGACACTGACTGTCTTATGCTCATGATGAACTTCATTATGATTTGAACTTGTGTGTCAGTGTTTCAGCACCTGGCACCCTGTCCTCTTTTTTCCCAGTGTCTTTCTCAAAATAGTAAGCAATGATGTTAAGGCTGGTGGGATCATCCCCCCTGTGGAGTGGGGTGGTGGTCACTAAAAAGTTATTAACAAGGTGAGTGTTCATGTCAGTCCATAGCTCTTCATCAAGCAAAGCTTGGTCTTTAGAGACTCTTTGCTTTTCCTTCTTTCCAGGTTCTTGGAAAGACTCAAGAATTAGTTTGCAACTTTTTTGTGATCTCGTATGGATATATTATTCAGCCCATAACTTCATATTAAACCTTAATTCAGATCCTCAACCTTATTTATAGCCATGCGAAAAAGAAAGTATACCTTCTTTGAATTTTATGGTTTTATGTATCACGACTAGGACATCTGGTCCTTAGGAGGTCTGAAAATTAGGTAAATACAACCTCAGATGAACAACAACACATGAAATATGACACTGTGTCATGATTTATTTTATAAAAATAAAATCAAAATGGAGAAGCCATGTATGAAAAGCTTAAGTACACCTTAAGGTTCAGTAACGTGTACAGTCATGGCCAAAAATATTGGCATTCTTGCAATTCTGTCAGAAAATGCAACCCTTCTTTCAGAAAATTGTTTCAGTTGCAAATGTTTGGGTACTCACATGTTCATTTCTTTGGTTTGCGTTGGAACAGCCCAAAAAAGCAGAGAGAAAAAAGTCAAATATGATACAGTCTCACACAGAATGGGGTGTTTGTACTGATATGATGTGTTTGGTTTTTGACAAATGTGGTGCTGTGTATTACAGCCAAACATCTCCACTTTGATCTTGTCTGTGCAAAGGACATTATTCCAGAAGTCTTGTGGTTTGACCAGATGCAACTTTGCAAACCTAACTTGCGCTGCCATGTTGTTTTTAGAGAGAAGAGGCTTTCTCCTGGCAACCCTTCCAAACCAACCTGATCAGTCTTTTTCTAACTGTACTGTCATAAACATTCACATTTAATATGCTAAGTGAGGCCTGTAGAGTCTGAGTTGTAACTCTTGGACGTTTTGCAGTTTCTCTGAGCATTGCACAGTCTGATTTGGGGGTGAATTTGCATGGACATCCACTCCTGGGAAGATTGGCAACTGTTTTGAATGTTTTCCACTTGTGAATAATCTTTCTCATTTGAGAATGCCTGGGAAGATTGGCAACTGTTTTGAATGTCTTCCACTTGTGAAGAATCTTTCTCATTTTAGAATAATTGGCTTTAAATTGTTTGGATGGCCTTGCTTCTCTGTGATGATTGCTGATGTGTTTCCTCCTTGGCATTGTGTTAACACATACCTGAATGCTTCAGACCAGCAAACTGCTAAAATTTTGGCTTTCACAGAGGTGGTCACGCTTGCTGATGATCAATTACTCAAGGGCATTTAGTTAGCAGCACCTGCCTGCTACTTAAGCTCTAAATTCCTATGGAAGCAATAAAATTGTACTTTGCTTTTCACACATGGCTTCTCCATTGTGGCTTTATTTTTTTGTAAAATAAGCCATAATACAGTTAAGGGCATTTGGTTAGCAGCACCTGCCTGCCACTTAAGCTCTAAATTCCTATGGAAGCAGTAAAATTGTACTTCGCTTTTCCCATATGGCTTCTCCATTGTGGCTTTATTTTTTGTAAAATAAGCCATAATACAGTGTAATATATCATGTGGTGTTATTCATCTGAGGTTGTACTTACAACATTTTCAGATCTGCTGAGGACCAGATTATTTTTATTATGTTCTTATATGTAAAACTATAGAATTAAAAAAGGGTGTGCTTTGATTTTCATATAACTCCAGATCTAGTTTAAAACATTCATGAAGACTGAAAGGTATGCCCAGTTTAATAGGACAGCACTTTTAAAAATCGTGTGTTTAATGGAACTACTAATTGAAATGACATTTATTTTAGGGGCAGAATTCTATTTCCTCTCATTTAGCAACAAATGTCTGTTGTAAGACAGAATCTGCATGGACAAATTTGGCTAATAACATTAGAAGTGTTTTCTTCCACTCAAAATGCTATTTTAATTTATTCAGATTGAATTAATTCTAGTTAACTATGATGTATCTGCATGGAGAAGATGGAAGGAAAGAAACTAAAGTTGTTTACAATGGTGTCTCTGAGTGTATACCTTTTTAAATACTCTTACATGTCCTAGGTTGGCTTTTTCTCGATTCGAGTGCATCCATGTTTCTACATGCTCGATCCAGGGTTTATCGCCTTCCAGATGACAAAGGAAATAAGAACAGAAAGGCAACTGAAAAAACAAATATAAAGGAAGAAAAGGGTAGGTCTAAAAGTTTTTCATTTATAATGTAAGTACGCTGCTGCCAGCACTGCCACTGATTGTACACAGTCACTGTGCGTGTCACAGAGTACATGAGGACAGCTCTCTGCCCCAAGGAGCCTTCAATGTTGTTCTAATGTTGCAGTGGAGACAAGAATGAGTAAAGGAGAGAAAGTAAACACATGCAGTAATTAATGTACCTCTGATATGGAAAGTCAAAGCAGTTTCTGCCGTTGAATTGATTGTCACCACAAGATATGTTGTGAGATCTGCCTTGATCCTTGGGGGAGAAGTGGTGAGCATAAGGGCCTCCAGATATGGGTGGATTGTATCCCCCGTCAGTCTCAGCCAGGACAACCATTGACAAGGTTCAGCAGCATTTGGATAGCTGCCCTTCTCCACCCTTGCCTTGTTGCATGTTAGAGCCATCAGCCTGGTAGAACCTTCAGATGTCAGGCTGACTGGTCATAAAACACTGAGAGAAGAATTTTAAATGGCTTATTCTTCTGTTCTTGTGTTTCAGAGCAGAAAAGAGAGCTGGTCCTCGAAAGCAACCCGAAGTGGGAAGCCCTTGGGGAAGTCCTGAAGGAGATGGAGATGGAGAATGCAAGCAGCGAGAGCCTGGGCGGGCCAGGTGAGGGCCTGGCCATGAAGGCGTCTTCTGCAGGATATCCTTGATAACAATAGACATTGTTGATGCAGCAGGTGAAAGATGTTCCGATGCAGGGTGTTCTGCTGCTGCGAGGCCTGTCCCACCAGGACAGATTTCCTGATATTCTCCTGAAATCTTCTTTCTCATAATCAGATGTTCAGGGCTTGAGCCCACAAAGTCCTTGAGGGAAAATCTTGAGGAATGACAGGGAAGGCAGAAAGTTTCCTTCCCCCCCCTTCTTCTGTTGCACTGACACTCCTGCTCCCCCCCAGGACCACCAATTTCACACAGGATTATAATAGTGCTCCACTTCCAAGCTGGCCAAGCGTCTGAGCGGGAACAATCCTGTCATCTGTTGTGGGGAAGGGGGTTGAGGCTGGATTTCTTCCTCTGGATTTTGCCAGAGGGAAACTTCCTCTTCCCCGTGACGCCATCATTGGGGGCTGGACTTGATGGCCATGTAGGACCCTTCCAACTTCACTCTTGTATGATTTGAGTGCTTCCTAACTTTTGTAAGATTTTCCCCTGCATTAGGAGGTTAGATTGCCGCTTCTAAGGTTTAGCTATGGGGAGTGATAGCTTTGAGCTGACATGTGTTGGTACTTTCTGCCCTACTCCTTTTTCCTCTCTGCTTCCTCTGGACCTCGGGTTGAAAGATGTTCCCCATTCTTGTCCTTGGGGATGGCTATACAGTGCATCCATCATCTTGATGGATATAATAACTTCCTTTTGCTTTTTTTCGTGTTACAGTAGAATCATAGAATAATGGAGTTGGCAGGGGCTTATAAGGCCATCGCGTCCAACCCCCTGCTCAAGGCAGGAATATAAATTGAAGCAGATTTGACAGAGGGTTGTCCATTTTTTTTCTTGAATGCCTCCAGTGTTGGAGCGCTCACCACCTCCCGAAGTAATTGGTTCCATTGTCGTACTGCTCCAACAGCTAAGACGTTTTTCCTGATATTTAGCCTAAATCAGGCTTCCTGTAGCTTGAGCCCGTTGTTCCTTGTCCTGCACTCTGGGATGATTGAGAACAGAGCCTGCCTCTCCTCTCTACCGCTACCTTTCAGGCATTGGAAAAGTGCTACCCTATCTCCCTTCCATCTTCTTTTCCCAGGAATAAACATGTCCAGCTCTTTCAGTCTTTCCTCAGGAGGCTTGGTTTTCAGTCCCTTGATCATCCTTGTTCCCCTCATCATGAATTGTTCCAGTTTGCTGGCATCCTCCTTCAAGTGGAGTGTCCATGGGGGGTTGGGTCTTTCTACTATCCTGGTTGCATAACAACTTTTTTTTTGACTGCAGGACGAGTACTTATCTGTGCCAGTGACGACCGCACTTGCGCCCAGCTCAAGGAGTATATTACTGTTGGAGCCAAAGCTTTTTTAACGAGGCTGTATGACAAGACCTTTGGGAAGAACAAGGACCGTGAGGAAGCCTATCCGAAAGATCGGAAAGCGGCCAAGAGCCGGCGAGACAACGCCAGAGAATCTCGGGCTAAGAAATCCAAAACAGAATATTCCAAACCTAAGGAGAAGAAAAAGAAGCCGGCATTGACCTTGACACAGATGTTAAACAAAGGAGAGATGGAAGACGTGGCAGGAGAGGAAGAAGACCCAGCAGAATTAAGCAGTAGCCCCGGGAACAGCAGTGACGGAGCCCAATCTGACAGCCTCGTTTTGCACATGTCCTCCTCAGATGCCTATTATGGGATCTTAAAGGAACCACTCACTGTAGTCCATCCACTGAATGGTTGCAGCGACCCCTATTCCCTCACGCGGGTCCTGCACGAAGTAGAACCAAGATACGTTGTGCTTTATGATGCAGAGTTGACCTTTGTCCGTCAGCTGGAGATTTATAAGGCAAGCAGGCCTGGAAAACCTTTGAGGTGTGTTGCAGTTCTGGGAACTTCCTCATTAGAAATATATATATATTGGTGTGTTTTTTTTCCTTTTAATATTTTCAGACCGTGGATAGATAAGGTAATCAGCAGATACTGGTCCTGTGGATGAGGAGGTCCTACTGTATTCTGATCTTCTTTTTGGTGCATTTGATAGATGAGAAAGGCTAAGAGCCACAGATCTGTCATATCTTCTCCTACTCAGCCTCATGAGTTGAGGTCTAATTCTTACTGAGGCAGAGAATCTTTGCCAGGGCTATGCTACTGAAGACTGTGGGTGGGGGGCAAAAAATAAAAATGAAATATACCATCTGAAAGCAGTTCCTAGGAATGATTTGCAGAGAAGGAATGTGTCGGTTGCCTCTCATTCTGAATTGAGAACCCAAACAGACTGGCATTTGAACCTTATTTCTACTAGGAAGTAAGAGCAGACACATTTAGAGTGTGTTGGACAGGTTGTATGGTACAGAATAAGGTGGGGAGGAGGTATTACAATATGATTTTTAATTGATTAGATTTTAATAGGACAAGTTGGCTGCAAGTCAACTTTTGGGGAGTTTATCTTCACTTCTGGATTTTGACGAGAATTTTGTGTCTTGCCTGGCAGGGTTTATTTTCTTATTTATGGAGGTTCGACCGAAGAACAACGCTACCTTACCACTCTAAGGAAAGAAAAAGAAGCATTTGAAAAACTCATTCGGTAACGTACACTTTGCCGAACCCTGATATTTTCCTAGTTGAGCCACCGTGTGCCATCCCAAAGCTGGCTTCAGGTTTAAGCAGGTGCTTAGTAGCATAGGTGTTGTTCTTCTTAGCGGGTGGCAGGAGCAACTTGGACATCCAGCCACTGGATAGAATTGCTGTTTACATTTCATTCAGGGCTCCTGACAATGCTTACCACCCGCTAGGCCATCCTGGGCGGCTGTGGTAGCGACTGGCCTCCCAGGTGTTCAACACTTGTCTGAGCAGAAAAAAAAATATTAAAATAAAAATTAAAGGAAGGCAAGTTGGTGGACCTGTAGCAGCTGCCACCCCCAAATTCTGGTTACTGATACAAAGTCTGTGGCATTAAAGAATTTATTTAGCCTCTCATAGAACAACCCTTTTTTAAAATTTGGCAAAATTGTGCCTCTAAATTAAGTGCCACAGCTCCCACTTTTCCAGAAGGCTTCCTAATCATTTGAAAGATTCTTGGGAGCGCACTGGGTCTCTTTTCTTTGCTAAGCTCCTCTGAACGTCAGCTTGTGTCCTGACTTCTTGCATGTTTCCAAAGTGGCCCTTCTTACATGAGAGGCTCATCTAGTCTACAATGTGAGTTGGCTCCTTGGACAAACGGCTCATGGAGGCAATTGCCCTCTGCCCTCCATTTTTGGCTAATAACTGTTTTGTTTTTTTCCANGATTGAGTCTACAACGTGAGTTGGCTCCTTGGTCATTCCCGGGGGGGGGGACTTTCAGAGGTCCAGGAACGGATCTTGGGGAGTCGTTGCCACCTGCCGGCCACCATCAGTTTTAAACATATTTGTACGCAAAAAGTCCCTCTGCTCCCTAAAAAGCAGGGAAGCAGTTTTGCGAGGTTTTGTCATCCCTTTGAGCAATTTGTGGCCCATGCAAGATAAGAAATCACACTGGCCTTTGAAATAAGCCTGGCCAGGCCTAAAATGGCTCATGGAGGCAAAACCTGGTAATTCTCTTCTGCCTTCTATTTTTGGTTAATAACTGTTTTTTTCATTCCCCCCAACGGTTTTTTCATTCCCCCCACCCCCCCCCCCCAATCGGCCTGCCCATTTCCTCACAGTGAGAAGGCCGGCATGGTGATCCCCGAGGAAAGAGAAGGGAGAGATGAAACCAACTTGGATCTGGGAAAAGATTCTGCACTGGTTACTGTTCCTACAGACACCCGCAAAGCAGGTCTGTGGTTTTTGGTCTCTGTCTCGTTGTTGTTTCTGACGGGCAGCAGCTCTTCAGGTGCTCTCGTTTCTTTCCTGATGCCTTTGTGAATAGGAGAAGTTGGCAAGGACTGGAACTGAGGCTATGCTAATGCTCTGCCTCCATGCTGTGATGGGCCCTCTTCACAGACCTGGACCAACCAGGCAGGGTTTTCATTGTCATTGATTCACGATAGGACATTGCTAACAAATGTCTCCCGTTTTCGACATGAGTGCCAATATATGCTGTTTGTCTGCTGGTTAAGAATACTGCTTGCTCTGGATTAAGGGTAGGGAGCTTCTTTCAACCCAAAAGATAGGATTCAGTTTCAGAGAAGTATTCCGTGCTGTGTTCCAGTGGGGGTGGGTGGGAAAAGAGACAAAATATTGGGACCAAAACTAACAGCATATTTTGGGTTAAAGCTCTCTTAGCCTTAAGAGAAATATTTACCTATTAGGATGGAGTGAAAACATACAAAATCTGGAAGCCTCCAAATGATGGTGCCACAAAGACTAGCAGGTGGCCATCTGGAGGGAAACTGGAGTCTGAGGAGGTCAGGTTTCAGCTGCTGTCCTAGTCTACCTGTTAGAAACTCTTAACAATTATAGTGGTGCCTCGCTAGACGATTGCCTCGTGGGACGAAAAACGTGCAAGACGATTTGTTTTTGCAGTCACTGTGGTGCCTCACAAGACCTTTTTTCTACGACTGTGCTTCGCAAGACTTTTTTTTTAGACCGATGCTTTGCGAGGTTTTTTTTTAGACCGATGCATTGCAAGACTTTTTTTTGAGACTGATGCATAGGGAACCTTGCAAGATGATTTTTTCACAAGACGACGATTTTCGCGGAACGAATTAAAATCATCTTGCGAGGCACCACTGTACTGTTTCTTGCACCTTTCTCAGTCTCTTTATAAGGGTCACTAATTCTGTCACTGTCTTTATCAGGAGGCCAGGAACTGAAAGGTGTACAACAAGCCATTGTGGTGGACATGCGTGAATTTCGCAGTGAACTTCCATCTCTGATTCATCGTCGCGGCATTGACATTGAGCCTGTGACCTTGCAAGTGGGTGATTACATTCTTACGCCTGACATTTGTGTGGAGCGGAAGAGCATCAGCGATCTTATTGGCTCCCTCAATAACGGGAGACTTTACTCACAGTGCGTCGCCATGTCTCGTTATTACAAGCGTCCAGTTCTCCTCATAGAGTTCGACCCCAGTAAATCCTTCTCTCTTGCTTCCCGGGCTTCTCTCCACCAGGAGATCTCTAGCAACGATGTGACTTCCAAACTCGCCCTTCTTACCCTCCATTTCCCCCGCCTTCGGCTCCTGTGGTGCCCCTCTCCTTATGCTACTGCCGAATTGTTTGAAGAATTGAAACGGAAACAGCCACAGCCTGACGCAGCGACAGCCCTGGCCGTCACTGCGGATTCGGAGATCCTCCCCGAATCTGACAAATACAACCCAGGCCCCCAAGACTTCCTATTGAAACTGCCGGGTGTGAATGCTAAAAACTGCCAGTCCATAATGAATCACGTCAAGAGCATTGCAGAGCTCATCACCTTTTCTCGGGACAAACTGGCTGAAATCTTGGGAAACGCTGCCGCTGCTAAGCAGCTTCATGAATTCTTGCATTTACCCTTTGCAGAAGCTGTTTCTCAAGGGAAAACCAAGAGGTGATGAACTACGTGAAAGCCTTTAAAGGATATCATGTTGGCATGTTTTGATTAACTTCCATTATGTCTTAGGACCGATGAGTGCATTCAGAAAAGTTATCTGCACAGGTCTTCTTGAAATGGCCCTACTCTGGAATGTGGTTGAAAGCGTTAACGTGTTTTAATGTACTCCTAAATCGGACACTCCCTGCACCCAGAGTTAGCACCCAGAGAAGGTCAGCTTTCACCTTGATATGTTAGCATTCAACACGTAGGGATTAATTTATTCATAATATCAAGGATTTGTCTCTGCCATCTGTATTCTCTTTTGCTATCTTTTCTCTTGGGATGTGACAGTTAGCTCTCGCTCTTACCTTCTCCTGGAGAGAAGAGGTATGTCGTTACATGAATTAGACTATGATTCATCTGACAGGTTGGGCATACTGTGGAAATAAATTTATTGCTGATACTTTTTTTCACTCACATGGTGACTTCTTTCTTCAGATGTTCCATTTAGCCCAAGTGAAAATCCCTTTTTCCCTGCACAATTTGCATTGGGACGTATGTGACACAACTGCTAAAGTGAAGCTTTAATTATGAGCTGCAGGTCCTCCTGCCGTAAGTTTGCTTGACGGAGGTGCTCTTAGTCGCCCTGTTCCTCAGTGGGGTTTGCCTGTCCAGGCCCATTCGACCATGGCATGGTACACTGAACAGTAGGACCCGCTTGGCTGTGGAATCAGTATCTGCTGATTTACTTATCCACACTCTGAAAATATTAAAAATATTTTAAAAAATACCCAGAATGTAGAATTCAAATAATGCTGCAGTTATCAGAACTGCCCACAAGAGAGTGAAAGATTATGCTATGTATTGCATTTGCTATTATAATAGGTTTTGATATCATTTGCGTTTTTCAGCATCCATGGAGTGTGAGTGCTGGAACTGATTCCCCCCACAGATAATTTTTATTTTTTTATTTTATCTCACTTCCATACATCGCTACTGGAAAAACCATAGCTTTGACTATGTGCACCTTTGTCAGCAAGGTGATGTCTCTGTTTTTAAGATGCGGTCTAGGTTTGTCAAACACATTAATAGCTGCCATTAAATCTGTCAGTAATTATTAGCCTTAAAGTGTGGGATTGTCAAGAAAACACTGCAGTGTATTTGATTTCTCCATCCCACCTTTTCTTTTTTTCCCCTTGAATGACAACTATTCAGCATTTTATGGTTATTAAACCTCTTCAGCGGGATCTCTGTGTGCTATTAGTTGTTTTTTCTATAACCGTATTTGGTACTTCTACAAACTTTACCATTCTCTTAAGCATGCTGATAACCAGAGCTTAGAAAAATTATGTGTTTTGGACTATAACTCCCAGAATGCCTGAGCCATCATAGCCATAAAGGTCATTGGATTCTGGGAATTATAATTCCAAAAAGTAATGTTTCCAAGTTCTTGTTATGCCTACATTTTGATTGTTTCAGGCTTTGTTCTGCCTAAATCCTGTCAACACGTGGTTCAGCATTACAGGAAGTAATTTGGTAATGGATATACAGGTTTAGAGGTACTCTGCAGTTGAATAACAGTTGCTTGGGGGGGCGTTGTTTGTCTTCCTGACCTGCTGGTGGACTTCCTTGAAACAGCAAAGTGGTCATCATGGAAAACAGGATGAGCTGAACGTGCTTTTGGTTCTGATCCAGCAGGACTGTTATGCCTCCGAGCTTTCCTAGCTATATATAGGAAGGAGAAAGCCGGAAGATGTGACAGGCTTCTAAGTAATTCTGCTTGGAACAATAGTTTCATACATAGCCATTAACGGACAGGCCTGTGAGGTGCCTCTTATTATTCTGGACTGCCCTGATGGGGACAGATGTTGCTTTTATTTATTTATTCTTTTGATATTAGTTTCCAAGACTCGCTGTATAATGTTCTTTGCGGTCTCTGTGAATGCACGTTACTGGGTTTTCCTGCTCTGCACAGAACGTTCTGAAACATTCCAGAGTTGAGACTTAGCATTTTGGCACTGTATGTGTCAGTTCCCTTTCATCACCTTTGTAGCAACAACGCTGTGCAACCTCTCCTTCACTAACCTTTTGATTACTAAGTGCTCTTCTTCCTCAGTTTGATCAGTAATGTTCCTCAGAATTTTCCTACAATTTATTTCTGGTGACTGCTGGCAGCCATTGCAGTGCTCCAAACTGAACACAAATGCTTAGATATGTACTTTTTTAAAAAACTCATTACTGAATTATCAAAACGAATATATCTGAGACCCAAACAGTTCATCAACTCATTATTGCTGCACGGGAGTGGGTCAATAAATACTGTGCAGCAGGTAAGATTAGTTTTTTAAAAGGAAATTTTACAAATTTGGGTTACTCTCCCAAAACATTATAACAGTGAAATTGAACTTCAGATCAGCACTAGATTTGGAACAGATGTAGTGGACAGTATGCTCTTGCTCTGAACATAATTAGGGGAAGTTTGGGCAAACGGTTTTCAAATTAGGATTTTTTTTTGCTGAAAAACTGATTTACCACCACCCCCTTTGCAAATACTGGTGACCTTTTTTATCTGCAGATTTAAAATAGATCATGACACGAAAAGACCAAATGTGCTTAATTTTGAAAGAGAATGATTAGTCTCTTCTGACTTTAAAATTTGGAACGAATCTAGGCTTCGGGGGGGGGTGAAGTAATAACTCTGAAAAAAAGCCTTTCAAAGGGGAAAAATTCTGACTTTCTTGTAAACTGGTTACCACTGCATACATTCCAGTTTTCATCTTGTGAGCTGGTAAGGGAAATCTGAACTTTTCACCCTGCCAGTCAGGATAAAACTAAATGACTCTCAGTGGGATAACTTTTTAACTTTTTTCTGACCAAACAGACATTTAAAAAGGATTCTGTTTCTGGTCTAAACATATTAAAAGATATTTTAAAAAGAATAGAGGCCAGATATTCAGAAGCTCACTCATTAAAGCTGTGAAATTGTTTTTTGCCTTGTGGTTGGATGTCTCTTAAGGAGAAAGGCAGGATAAAAATATTTTAAGTAATAAGTAAGAAAATAAATAGATAAAAAGTACATTTTCAAACAGAATGTCCTCTGTATGGAGATTTGAGGGATCAATATCTTAAACCCTTAACAACCAGGACCAAGAACAATTCCCCCTTATGTACAGTTTTATTTCTTCTAGCTTTATATTACCACTAAATTTGTTAAATGAGCGATGGAAAGATGGCTCATTGCCCACTTCACAGGCTCTACAAGTTAATTTTTTTTTCATACTTTCCCAACATCAGGGTCTTTTCCAGGGAGTCTTCTCTTCTCATGAGATGGCCAAAGTATTGGAGCCTCAGCTTCAGGATCTGTCCTTCCTGTGAGCACTCAGGGTTGATTTCCTTCAGAATGGATAGGTTCTCTTTGCAGTCCAGGGGACTCTCAAGAGTCTCCTCCAGCACCACAATTCAAAAGCATCAATTCTTTGGCGGTCAGCCTTCTTTATGGTCCATCTCTCACTTCCATACATCGCTACTGGAAAAACCATAGCTTTGACTATGTGCACCTTTGTCAGCAAGGTGATGTCTCTGTTTTTAAGATGCGGTCTAGGTTTGTCAAACACATTAATAGCTGCCATTAAATCTGTCAGTAATTATTAGCCTTAAAGTGTGGGATTGTCAAGAAAACACTGCAGTGTATTTGATTTCTCCATCCCACCTTTTCTTTTTTTCCCCTTGAATGACAACTATTCAGCATTTTATGGTTATTAAACCTCTTCAGCGGGATCTCTGTGTGCTATTAGTTGTTTTTTCTATAACCGTATTTGGTACTTCTACAAACTTTACCATTCTCTTAAGCATGCTGATAACCAGAGCTTAGAAAAATTATGTGTTTTGGACTATAACTCCCAGAATGCCTGAGCCATCATAGCCATAAAGGTCATTGGATTCTGGGAATTATAATTCCAAAAAGTAATGTTTCCAAGTTCTTGTTATGCCTACATTTTGATTGTTTCAGGCTTTGTTCTGCCTAAATCCTGTCAACACGTGGTTCAGCATTACAGGAAGTAATTTGGTAATGGATATACAGGTTTAGAGGTACTCTGCAGTTGAATAACAGTTGCTTGGGGGGGCGTTGTTTGTCTTCCTGACCTGCTGGTGGACTTCCTTGAAACAGCAAAGTGGTCATCATGGAAAACAGGATGAGCTGAACGTGCTTTTGGTTCTGATCCAGCAGGACTGTTATGCCTCCGAGCTTTCCTAGCTATATATAGGAAGGAGAAAGCCGGAAGATGTGACAGGCTTCTAAGTAATTCTGCTTGGAACAATAGTTTCATACATAGCCATTAACGGACAGGCCTGTGAGGTGCCTCTTATTATTCTGGACTGCCCTGATGGGGACAGATGTTGCTTTTATTTATTTATTCTTTTGATATTAGTTTCCAAGACTCGCTGTATAATGTTCTTTGCGGTCTCTGTGAATGCACGTTACTGGGTTTTCCTGCTCTGCACAGAACGTTCTGAAACATTCCAGAGTTGAGACTTAGCATTTTGGCACTGTATGTGTCAGTTCCCTTTCATCACCTTTGTAGCAACAACGCTGTGCAACCTCTCCTTCACTAACCTTTTGATTACTAAGTGCTCTTCTTCCTCAGTTTGATCAGTAATGTTCCTCAGAATTTTCCTACAATTTATTTCTGGTGACTGCTGGCAGCCATTGCAGTGCTCCAAACTGAACACAAATGCTTAGATATGTACTTTTTTAAAAAACTCATTACTGAATTATCAAAACGAATATATCTGAGACCCAAACAGTTCATCAACTCATTATTGCTGCACGGGAGTGGATCAATAAATACCGTGCAGCAGATAAGATTAGTTTTTTACAAGGAAATTCTAAAAATGGGGTTACCCTCCCAAAACATTATAACAGTGAAATTGAACTTCAGATCAGCACCAGATTTGGAACAGATGTAGTGGACAGTATGCTCTTGCTCTGAGCCTAGTTTGGGGAAGTTTGGGCAAACAGTTTTCAAATTATGATTTTTTGTTAAAGAAAAACTGATTTACCACCACCCCTTTGCAAATACTGGTGACCTTTTTTATCTGCAGATTTAAAATAGATCATGACACTGAAAAGACCAAATGTGCTTAATTTTGAAAGAGAATGATTAGTCTCTGCTGACTTTTTTTTTTAAATTTGGAAGGAATCTAGGCTTCAGGGGGTGAAGTAATAACTCTGAAAAAAAACCTTTCAAAGGGGAAAATTCTGACTTTCTTATAAACTGGTTACCACTGCATACATTCCAGTTTTCATCTTGTGAGCTGGTAAGGGAAATCTGAACTTTTCACCCTGCCAGTCAGGATAAAACTAAATGACTCTCAGTGGGATAACTTTTTAACTTTTTTCTGACTTCTTTCTAACCAAACAGACATTTAAAAAGGATTCTGTTTGTGGTCTAAACATATTAAAAAGATATTTTAAA